GTCTGGCGCCTTCTTGTTTCTTGGTGCTATTTCGCCTCGTACCCTCCTCCCCGCGCTCAGTCTCTCATTGCCTTAGTACAGCGGTTTTATGAAGGTGAACAAGGCCTTGAAGCTAACATAGGGTGATGATTTGTAGAGCATATACTTCAGTGTGATCGCTAACTGCTCTGCGTGCGATACGAACATTCAGCGGTGGTCAGCTGCAAGATCGCCAAACACGAATGAAGGCTGGGAAAAATCTGGAGAATCTTTTAGGCGGATAATATTCGACTACATAGAATTGAAGAAGGATAGGCCATGGTTCAGTATGTCTTTCTCATCTCTCGGATTTTATGGAAGATTGGTGAAGTGAGTTTAAACGAAGATTTTTTCCCGAAAAAGCAAGAGAACGTCTCGTTTTTGGTTTATATACTTTATTATTGGAATGAATGTATTACAGAAGTGAAGATGTCAAGTATATAACGCACGCAATAGCGTTGTATTATCGATATAAACCAGTGGATTGGATCTTTTACGATGTTGAATACAGTCGTTATTGTAGTCCCGAACAAAATAGTACCAGCTGTGTCAAAGTACGTGAGCTCGGTTCCACTCCATGACCATTCAAGGCTTTTCAGAAAGTATGGGTCTTCGACTTGTTGTGTTTGAAGGCTGAAAACCTCTAAAGGAAGCTGACTTAAGGCGCAAGCACAGAAACTTGATTGGGTGGTGTCATGACGTTTCGTCATGATGCGACGAAGAAAACCAAGGTGAATCCTTGACACGTCATCCTATTGATTAACTAACTCAAAACCGGCGTTCAAATTGCCGCTGGCCGCACTGCCAGTCCATTCCAACCAGCCATTCCAACGGACCGCCCCCTGGCCCGGGTATAAATACCACCCATTTCTGGGGGTATAAATAACGCACTCGGAGACTCCGGGCCAGTCTTCGCGGTCTTCGCCGGTCTCCTCAACTTCTCCAGTCGTCTCCAGCGGTCTCCAAACAAGCGACTCCGGTCGCACAATAAACCTAAGGCGGCAACGCCAGCAATAAACCAAATAATCAATAAGCACAAGGAATCAATAAGGTACAGCCAGTGGACCATCCACCGGCCAAGGCCACCAATCAATATCACTAACCAAGGACCACCAACTCACACCTCCAGCCACTACCGACCAATACCCTAAGGCACAAATCAATATTGAAGTACCCAATACGGATTCGAGTAATGGCTAACCAACCGTAACGCTAACTTATGTAGGAATAAATTGTAACATAAGTTAACCATTGCTTTCAGGAAATGTGGTATAAGCTATGTTAATAAATGTTAGTATTTACAAGTGTTGCGTCAATAAAATAATTTAATAGAAGTCGCATCATAGGGCAATCTACCACTCTACCGTCGAAACATGGTGCATCGGCGGATCCGAAACCCGGGCGCCCGCGTGGCACGAGCATTATTACCACTGTAACCACCGATGCACTTAGCCCTTAGCCGATTACATCAATTATATAAAATGAAAACAAAGAACCCAGAATGTTGGAACGAATACTGCAACATAATCAAAGAACAAATCGATAAGGATTTCGTGGAAGAAGCTACGCACATCTCAAACCAAACAAACCCACTGTACTACATACCACACCAAGCTGTCATTAAAACGACAAGTGCCACTACTAAAACCAGAATCGTACTCGACGCTTCCTCAAAAATGAAAGGTCAATTGAGCCTTGAATGACGTAATTCATCAAGGACCATTAATCTTACCCAGCCTATGTGGCATACTACTAAGAGCAAGACTTGGTCCAAAAATAATGATCGCCGATGTGGAAAAAGCCTTTCATATGATATACTTACAAGAATCAGAACGCGACTCCGTCAGATTTCTGTGGCTCAAAGATGTTAACCTACCGCCACTACCACACAACATACGAATTCTTCGCTTCTGCCGGCTACCATTTCGAATAATGCGTCAATTTCGCTGGCTTGGAGGAATCTCAATCCAATACGGTCTAGAACAACAAAAGCAACAAAACGACACAATTGTTCGTCGCTTGGTCGAAAACATATACGTCGATAACGTGCTCATGATTGACCACTCAACACAATCACTTCTTCACACTTACCACGTCTGCAAAAAGATTTTCAACAATATGTCTATGAATCTCCGTCAGTTCATCACCAATGACGATGCCTGCAACAATCTAATCGACAAAAAAGACAAATCCACAGCCTCGTCGATAAAAATTCTAGGCATCCCGTGGAACCATAACAGTGACAAACTGTCAATTTCATGTAAGCTACTTACACTTCCAATCCCACTAAACGTAAAATTCTACAAGCTACCCATTCCACGTTCGACCCTCTCGGACTACTTACACCTCTACTCCTCCAAGCAAAGCTTTTGCTACAAGACTTATGGAAGCAACAACATAAATGGAATGAAATCCTTCCTGACGAATATAATAACCTATGGAAACTAATATGCGAACAAACTCATGGATTCACGGTACACGTTCCACGACCAATCATTTCCCCAACAGAAAGCCAATATGAACTTCACACGTTTGTAGACGCCTCCAATAGGGCATACGCTACAGTAACATACCTAAGAGCCATACAGAAAAATGAAGCCATTACGAACACGATCTTAATGGCCCGGCAACGACTAGCACTGAAAGAACTCAAATTAAAAATCACACTCATTAATATTTACAGTGACTCACAAGTAGCACTACATTGGCTGCAATCCAAGTCCAAAAATGAGACGTTCGTGGAAAACAGATGTAAGGAGATTAAAACGCACAGTTCAGTCATGGCTAGAGGAAAAAATCAATATACACCTATACTACATCCCTTCCGAAAGCAACCCTGCAGATTGTGCAACTAAAGGGATTACCAAAGAACAAATAAGACAATCTCTATGGTGGTCAGGTCCAGACTTCCTACAACAGGACCAAACCACGTGGCCACAGTTACAAGAAATTCACTGCAACCTTAAGGAAGAAAACATCGAAACTAGCCTTGACGATATAAATGAAAATGAACACACAACCTTCACAACTATCTCATCACCGTTACCGCAGCATTGCCACCTTAATTTATTAACAACATTTTCGTCACTTAACACGCTTCGCACTGTAACGGCACTAGTCTTAAAATATCTTAAGCTTCGGATATATGACAAATTAAGTGAACAGAGCAAAAAATAAATTGTTCGCTTGCATACCAGAAATTGAACACGTAACCTCAACTATCCCTTATCATCTCCACTCAACGGACATTCAAATGGCAGAAAGGATTCTTCTTAAACTAATGCAACGTAACATAACAAAAGAAGATAAACAGAAACTATCTCAAGCACCTCTGGCAAGCTTGGCACACCGCGTATCTTCTTGAATTAAGAAACTATCATCAACGACGTATCAAACAAAAGAGCTTCACTAGAAAGCAGCCCCGTGTCGGAGAAGTGGTTCTCATCATGGATGAAGACATACCCCGAATCGACTGGCCGTTAGGACTCGTAACTAATCTAATACAAGACCAAGACGGTGCAGTCAGATCAGTTAAACTACGAACCTCAAAATCAACTCTAGAAAGGAAATAGAGCCACATAGCTAATACCTCTAGAACTAAACGACGACACACGAGAAACACCATCCACAGATAACACTATAACAATGAGAAAGGAAATAGTGCCACACACGCAATCCAATGAAATAAACGATCCCAGCAAAGTAGACTCAATAAACCCTGATATAACTAACGGTCTGCGATTACGTCCAATTCTTCCGGGGCAAAACTAAACAAAACCTACACTCATACTACGATAACAACGGACACGAGAGATACATTTCTTAATCGCAGCCAACCAACCACGCCATTCTAACGTTATGGAAGCACTGGCTCACTATAGCCTTAGCTTTCACATTAATTAACCCCACAACCTCACATAACCGACACACAATTCTTCACTGTGTGACAGGAGGAATCAATATACAGTCACATCAACAACCAGAACGAATACAAGTATGTGGAAACGATTACTGCATGGAAATAAAAGAGCCAGACCACAACATAACCGTTCAGTTCCCACCTGAAGTAACATTACACACATATCACATTACATTAAAATCAGTAATTAAAAATGCCACGGAGGCCACCCACTGGGCTTGTCCTCCGAGCCCTTTTTGCGAACAAATCAAATGCAACTTTTGCACACAAATGGTTTCAAACCCCGAATGCTGGCCAAGAATTGCAATCGCTGCAACAGCAATTCTCCTCTACCTCACAGTGCTAACGGCATATATAACGTTTAAAGTAACTCGTAGAGTTTTGAGAATTGTAACGTACATCTGCGCAAAACTGAAGCTTCGCAAGATCTTAACAATGATCCTGCGAAGACGCGGCACACGCCGAGACTCAGACGACCAACATCCGCTACCGGAACTCGACAAAATTAACACAAAATGGAACAAAACTACCATGATCCGACTAATCGCAATCCTCGCTTGCCTTCCCTCAACTACATACGGATGTCAACAGACAATCCTTCTACCAGCAAGCATATTTCAGTGTGACGACAACACTAAAACATGTCGCAATCAAACCACTTTGGTGACAAAACATAACCAAATGCAACCCGAAACGTGCATCCAATTACAACACAACGATCAGCAAGTCCACTATATGCACATTTCATTGAAGAACCTCATTCTTCGATGTCGCAAAGAAACCCTCTACTTTACACGAAATACAATCACTAAGGTTAAGTACCAAAAGCGCTGCCCCGGTAGAGGCACATGCACTGGGTTGAAATGCGCTAAAATTAACACTAACACTTACGTCAACGAACTCCAACGAAGCAAATAATTACACAGGAATAACCTACTGCTCAGAATCCTGCGGAGGACTAGGTTGCTCTTGCGGCTTTCCTTCATCAGGAATGGCTGTTCTATCGCATATACCACAAACCTCTCGACGAAGACATATACGAAATATTCCACTGTCCCACATGGTTCCAAACCATATCACTTGAACTTAAAATTAATGGAGCCCAACAAGTGATCAAAAGCTTCGAATTACATCCCTACGTCAAAAAACGCATCGCCAACACATCTTTTGAAATCACAAGCTTCTCATTTCCACCAATATCAATACTTTACCAGCGCTTCCTTACTAATGGACAAACAACGGCATTTATACGCCAAGACACACAATTTAGCTACGCATGCAGCAATAATATAAACACAACAAATACAACCGGCGACTGCACTATAAAGGACACCTGTAAATGCAGTCCTGCCGAAGATTATGTAAACTGCTATTGCACTCACAACAATGTCTCTCAGTTCACACAATTATCAAATACACTACCTTTGCCAATACCAAGCGCCTTGGTCGCTACCGAAGGACTTAACAGCGTTCCCACAATTAGAACACGTACACTGTCAGCAGAATTAATAATTCTGTTGGACCCACTCACAAAAGGTGTAATACAAGAAATTGAGAATCTCCAATGTAACGTCCTCTCATCCCCACTCATTGGATGCTACAATTGCCTCAAAGGAGCACGAGCAACAATTTTTTGCGAATCGGATAACCAGAAATCATCGCACAAGTAACTTGCGACCACCATCAATTCACACTCACTTGCACTAAATTCGGTCAATACAACTACATCCTCTTGTTCTTTAATAAAGCCAGAATCCATGAACTATGCCAAGCTAAATATGGTTCACACACTACAATATTCACGATACAAGGTACACTAAATTACATAAACAGGTTAACACCATTTTGGCACTACATTAAACTATGGGACAACACATCAAACACGGAATCCTCTTCACTATTCACTATCGATCTCTCTCTTCCCGATCTCTCGCACTTCTTTCGCACTTGCACACAATTCCTCTTCTATTCCATAACTATCTTCTTTCTTCTTCTCAGCGCACTAACTCTAAGCCACAACCTCTTCTGCTCTACCAAACCACAAAACCAACAGCACAAAACAACTCTAATCGAAGTAATCTCCTTATTCCCTCCACTCCGCATCCTCCTCTTTCTTTTCTCTCTGCTGAAGCTTTTCATCTAAATCGCAACCAACATCCTACGACTTCCACTACGACTACTCGGTTCGTCACGACTACTACGCCACTAGCGACTACGAGTTCAATGCCTGCTTCCCGACACAGCCAACGCTATATCTCGACCAGCAACTCCACAACTTCCGAACAACTCCACATCAGAAGATACGCCATAATGTTAGGTTTGTAGTTTAGATTTGTGTTTTAAGAAAATTGTCAGTAGGTAACATTAAGCAGATATCGCTGTACTTTTTTTAATGTCGATCATTTCAATTTTTTTTTTTCTACTGTGCTGTATTCTTTTTATACTACTCAAGCAATGTAAGGTTAGCGTTATGCACGGTTGGCCTCAAAACCTACCTAACCATATACACTTAACCACTTACAGCTAATTACAACCTTAAAATAACACTTAAGTGGCGTGGAGGATGCAAACGACAAATAATGCGTTTTCATCAACCTCTTCGTTGTGCGGAGTGGTTGGATGAAAAGAGTGGTTAAATTGGTTCGATTCTTTGAAATGTGAGCCCCAGAGATATGAAATGGACTCTGGTGCGAGAGAAGGGAAGTGATGGAACAACTTGAAAATATACCCTTCATAGTCGCAGCAAAGGAGCCCGAGTGAATGGGCGGAGAGCGTGTCCGGACGAGTTTTTAGACTCCATTGTAAGCATGCCACGCTATCTCGAGGAGAGGGCGCAAACGCAGCTTGCGTGTGGAAACACAAAAGGATCACTTAGAAGAAAGGTTCGCATGAAAGTTGCGCCCATATTTTCCTGTTTCTTTTCTCAGTGCTTGCCGTTTCTTGTTTTATAAGAATGATTATGGAAGTTCTGGCGATTGGTTTCAACTCAGTAGCTTTCTATTTCCATTAGGTATTGGTTTGACTGCTTCGTCGAGTGTTCACTGGTACCGATGCTGCGCATTTCCTGGAAAGCTCTTTTGTCGTTCAGTTGCCTCAATCTATTCTATCATGGATTAGCGATGCTTTTTGAGGTTGTATGGTCGGCGACAATCATCGACCCAAGTAATGTCCATGTTAAGTTTAATATTTGCTTACTGTGGCGCTTGAGAATGCATTAGATATTGCAGATTGTTTACATTTGGATGACGGCGAGGATGATGAATCCCAGTGAAGATTCCATTGCGGAGGGGGACTTAAGCCTGCCGCTCACGGATACTTGGCTTTTGGCGACTGTGCGGTTCGAAGACCTTCTGAGTGTAGGCGCAGCTTCTTGACTTCTGGAGCGTCTACGAGTGGTTCGACTTCCTGGCTTCGATATCAAACGACAGGTCGCGAGTGGCTGCCTCTGGTGTGGAGTTGCTCGTGTCGGGGTGCTGCACTGCCTGGTTCGTCCATAAAGCGTCTGTAAAATGTTCCAATGTTGAGGTAACCTTAGCATTCACTGAGGTCTTAGACTCGAGCATTCTTACCGTCCGCGAACGCGTTGTGGTCCAATCAATGAGAAAGAAGGAATCATTAGCATGGACGAATTGGTACTTGAAGGCATTTCTACTGAGACTGTTGTGAATATGGGAAACATAGAGCTGTTTCGGTCCTGGGAAGCCATGTTATTCTCACAGGTTCGTAAAGGTCGCACACCATGGGGAGTGCACCGCAACCTTACGTGCTATTCTCCGAGTCATGGTTCCGTGACAGAAGAACTTGCGGATTTCACAAAGAAAGAGGGAAAAATATTTTATTTGCTGTAAGAATGCATAAACATTATAAATGGAGAAAAATGGGCGTAGCAGAAGCACGTTCGTGTCATTATGGATGATCTCTCTATTAAGACTCTCGGAGAATGTCGTATGATGATCGGTCCTCCGCTATTTCAACACGTCGGCAAAGTTTCGTCACTTCCAGGAAAAGCTCAGAAACTGAAAGAAAGTTATTTTGAAAAGCACAGTTTCAAGGTATGCGTTTTAACATGTGTAAAAAATAGAGTTTAGTTCCTTCTAAAGATAACGTGAGCTGCACATATCAAACCTATCAAGGATCGTTTCAGTACTGTTTGAACCTGCTAACAAGGGGAGGGTCTTTCAGGACATGGAGCGTTTTTTCAAAATGGTTTCTGAATGTTGTAGAGGCTCATGTGAGGAACACAGAACCATGGTCCATTTTTCCTGAACGCCCCCAGGAATGTCAAAACAGCGGGAAGAAATGGTCCAAAGTTCGATCCTCCGTGATGACAAATTTTTGCAATTTATGTTGGCGCCTCCAAATTGCCGCAAAACACGACAATGACATCTATTCTCGACGATGGCGCCATTTGGCGGCAATCTGGGGCGCCAAACATTGCAAAAATTAGTCATCACCGGGGATCGAACTCTGGACCATTTCTTCACCACTGTTTTGACATTCCTGGAGGCGTTCAGGAAAAATGGATCATGGTTCTGTGTTCCTCGCATGAGCCCCTACAACATGCAGAAAACCATTTCGAAAAAGCGCTCCATGTCCTGAAAGACCTTCCTTGTAAGAGGGATTACCGTGATTGAGTCAGTTTGATCAATCCATTTTGCGAGAATGAGTACCCCTTGAGGCCTACCTCTTGAGCTAAAAGATGTGCTTTCTCGCGGACTGAAGACGCGCGAGAGGTGCGGCGCAAGGCCTTCTCACTTCTGCTTCTGAACACAGCTCTTCTTGCTTTTGATGCTGCGATACGTCTCATAGCGCACTTTTTCGTTTTCAAGTTGAAAGTGGATTTTACGATGAAAAGACAGCCATTTTTAATTTAAGTTACGATGGATGATGCACGAAAGAAGAAAAACCGAGAAAAATGGCCAGAACCCGAGAAATGGGACCCCTTCCTTGCCCGTTGATTTGCGCATTGATGCGACTCTCATCGTGCTGCCCTCTTCAACATAACGCTCTCTCTGCTGAACGGCTAGAGACTCAGACACGAGACGACGCGAGAGGAGCTTGCCGGCAGAGCGCGTGCTAATTGAGGCGCTAGAAGTCATTCCAGATATATTTTTCAATGAGAAATTATATGACCGGTTATCCCCCTCCGCCTTTGTCTCCAGCAGGTAAGGCCTCTTTCTTGCCTTCCCGATAATTATCGGAATCATTCCCTTGACCCGGGAAGAGTCTAAACTTCTGAACCGTTCATATGCTCCGACAATAGCAGAAAGAGAAAGGTATGTCCATCCAGCAATTCATGGGCAGGTCATGGATCGATGGTTTCAGTAATTTCAGTTCGAAAAATTGAATACTCATGCATTCTTCAAAAAATAGGGTGCGTAACCCGATGCTTATTTGGTCCAGAAACTGCCTGAACGAAAGTAATCTTCATCAGTGAAGTGTAAAATTCCAGTCAAATCGTGGGAATCCACCGGCACATGTTACATCTTCAATGAAACACTATTTGCGCCATACTGCGCAAGCAGGATACAATAATCATGGATTCATGTGGTTTTCTGAAGTCGATGCCAATGACTACGTGAGAATCGAGTTCGACAAGCCCGTTAAAATCGTCGGTGAGCCCACGTTTCCGTTTTACCATGCAGTTTTATTGCTCTTGAGCTTGTTCAAAAAAAAAAGCTCGAAACCAGATTTTTTGGATGCTGCAGAGTGAGCAATTTCAAAATCAAATGAAGATCGACATCATATCTTTTACAAAAACGCTTTGTAGCAAGTTTTTTGCCGCATATTCTCGCCGCATCTCGAAAAACTCCGCCCACTTTGAATGCCCCTCCCACCAGTACAAAGTTTTCTTCTCATTCAATACATTCATAGTCACAAAACTTGGAGGATGAATTTTACCCCTCTAAGCTGCTTTTGCAATTCAAATTTGTGTAGCGTACTACCTCCTTACAACATCAAAGTATTCCACCTGTTACCCTTTGCTCGCGCGGAAACTAAGTCGCACTAGTGATTCCAGTGAAAATGCAGATAGCTTGATAAATGAAGAGTCCTGGAAATCCGTGGATAAGTAAGAGTACAAGTACAAAACAGGCTAATCATGTCATGGCAAAAACAAATATACTTTTCCTTGATGGCCGTCGTCACTTGTGATGTGTGGTCTGCACTCGAAGCGCTTCTGATTTCTGGAGTAGAGTATATCTATGCAGGCTTATTCGTCACTTGGATATGGTAGGTCGAGCCAGCGATCATGCAAAAACCAGCATAAAATTAACCAATTTGACGCACATCTGTCAAGGGTAACAAGCAACCGAATAAATAATTAAGAAATAGATCTGAATAAATAAATAAATATAAGGCTTTCCTCGCGGCTCATAATAGAAGTCAACACCCGTTTTCCCTCAAAAGTCCAAAAATTTTAGCTTCTGTTATCGTTACCGAAGCAAAGAATATTGATGTGTTTTTCAAAATAATACCACATATTAAGGGATCCTCATAATCAGTGGTGTCGCACCGGCGCCACTTGATCAATTCGGACCCGAAACGGAGGTCTACGTTAATATCGGAATCTTCGAGGAAGAGCGGAAATGGATAAATTTGCTCAAAACAGGAGACTTCGTAGACATTGAATGGACGGAAGAAGTGCAGACGGCTGAATTGCGATCACTCGGCTTCGAAGGAATCTGGTTATCGTCGCGACACCGCTTTTTGAGATATCCTTCGGACGTGCGAGACGGAATTCCCAAAGGTCACCTGCACGAGACTCATTCTATTCCCATATTGTGAACTACCTCAATTACCTAGCAATAAGCAGTGAATTAATTCTTCATCGTAAAGGTTCGCTAAGAGTTTCACTGATTATCATCGTACTTTTCGTAGTTTGAATTTTTAGCGAAACTTCTAATTCTTTTTGTTATCACTTCAAAGGTGTTGTGATTAGTTTTTTTTCTTTTTCTTATGGTGCATTCCTACCTCAACTTTGGCCTTTTTTCTCTGCTTATTTGTTTTATATACATTAAAATATCTAATTCCGCGCGAATTTCCTTCGTCTAATGCTGTATAAAATATGCTTAACATCTGACATAATGTGAAAGAATTGGAGACGGAGGAGATAAGCCTATTTGGACGGAGCGAGCACCTGAAGTAAGGCGTGTGATTATATTGTTCTGCTGTAGTCACGTACAACGCGCGACGGCGCGTTGAAACGTGTGCTCGCCCTCGTTTTCTCTGCGCTCTCAACGAAGAGAGAACGCGTCGAGCAAACTCGCCAACTGTACTGAGCGCCGTTCATATATACAGGGGGGGGGGGCCAAAAAAAAAGAGTCACTTTGCCTATGGCGCATATCATCAAACTTTTCGTCGCAAAGGATGCCGCTGTTATTGGGAGTTATACGGCAAATTATTCCTTAGATGTCCCCCCATAAGCAGAATCAGGCCCACCTTCGCTGCGTTCACCGTCTCCAGAATATGACGTCATCTGTCATCACCGTCGAGCTTAAGGAGGCCTACAATAATCGCTCCATTCTGAAGCTGCTACATAAATTCTTCAATCGGATAACTGGTGAATGACTTCTTAGAGACACTAGCTCTGACTATGCAAAATGGCTTTTGACCAGCGTTTCAGAGACGTCGTAATCATCTATGGTTTCTCGACGACCCCGTTGAGCTCGTACCGCGAACCATGTTTCCGTGGGAAAATCTTCTGGTGTCGTCGGTTAGAAGGCCACTATGCAATGTTTTTGATAGAATAGAATGTGCTCTTCAATATGCAATTGAGCTCATTCGGTTTGGTTTTGGCAAAGTGTAATTAATTCTGTTTTGAATGTGAGTAGGAGTGACTCTTTTTTTTTGCCCCCCCCTGTATGTAGGAGTTGGAGGAAGGGACACACGCTCGCGCGCAGCGCTCAGGCTCCCGCCCGCGCGGCGGAGCGTACGCTGCGACGCTCGATCATTTTTGGATTGCTGCCCTGGACCGCAAGGAGATAGCGCTCGTTGTTGGCATGACCTTCGGAATGGCTACCTGCAAGAAAGCGCTTCGATCAAAACAATTCGTGATTGGCGGCGGGAAACGTCGAGTAATTCACCGCGTCTATACTTCGGGTGCTCGCTCCGTCCAAACGGCTTATCTCGCGAAGGAGGACTGGTCGCAAATGACGGCACTCACAACTAGCTCATTTGGCGACAAAGGTATCTCAACCGCATTGCATTCGAAACAACCGTCCCTTTCCGATCTTTCGTTCGAGTGACGGTGTCCTTCATTGGCTGGAGGATAACAGCATCGAACTGCGCAGGCGGTACCTCACGACACTGTATTTGCAGTTTAAAACCAATTGGATTTGTCATTATGATTCTATGCTAAGGTAGAGTGCATGGCGCATCATGAAGGTGTTTATTGCCGCCGACTTAAAATTATTACAGTTCTAATGTCCAGCCTTGCCCATGAAATAAAACTTATCATGTTTAGTTTGAGACCAAGTATCAACCTGGCCTCAACGACCTGCAATGTGGTTCTGGCTGCATTCGTATGCATAACCTACAGCTCCACACACTTCAACTCAATTCTAACCCTGGCCCACTTGCGAAATCACATCCGCAACTGCCACGCTTTGCGATCTCAGCTTTTGTGAGATTGGCTAAACCTGGCTGCTGTCTAGAGCTCGCAAAACCAAGAAACAATCACAGGGAACGAAAAGTTTCCAGAAGGTCCCAATGATACACATTGGCTCGGCCTACCGAAAACGTTAGTTTTTACCTTCCGTCTAAAGCTCCTACCCAAATAGTGTCCCATGACTGCGCTGCGAGTCGAGACAGTAAAAGAGGACATGAGACAGTTAAGTGCTATAGGTGATGAATAGAGAACTGGTCGAAGCCGTTTAGGTCGCGTGCGAACCTTGCCTAATTGCTCGATTTGCGAAGCTCTGAGCATATTACCTTACAGAAGTACCTTCTTTGGATCCACGGTAAACCGAAGTGCTAAAATATACGAAAATTCACCTTCAAGTTTACTATTTTCTCACAATATACGACATGGCCCATAAGCTTTATTTTAACGGAGGAAGTGAAGTCTCGCAGACTTGCGCTCAAACTTCATCGCCAACTAGAACAGTGTTAAAAATCTTATAGTGGCCATGTAATCGATCTCTAGGATAATCACATTGGAACTACTAAATGGAATCTAGACAGGAGTCCAGCGTTGTTGTCTTGTGTGTTGTACGTTGCTGCTGGCGTTGTCCAGTTCGAGGAAGATACCGTTCATACTTGGTCGCTCTGATGGCCGTGGGTGCACACAATTTGCCGATAGAGCGATTTCAGTCCCGAAGGGAGCAACAAAACGACCCATTTGGTCTCGAAATAGACCCGCATAATAACCAGAAATGGAAAAAGAAACTTAAAGGCTGTGATCACGATTTGCTACGAAAGTGGTGCTCCTACCGCAGCCCATCGGATCACCAATCTTTAAAGGCAAAGTTCACATCATCGAACTATGCAACAATCTTCAAAGGCAAAGTTCACCATCGAACTGATGTGTTATTGCGCCTAAAAATGACCGTGAGCATGTGAAGTGTATTGCCAGTATGAAAAAGGGAAGAAACCGTCGATAAGGCCGATAATAAGACCCCTACAGCAAAGCAAAGTAACATTGAATCGACGGTTATTTCTCGCGTAAGGTTGCCTTGGAGTGCGTTAGCGTAAGGAGCACCATGAATTCTACGTTCAGCGCTATCCCACCCAGTCTTGCTTTTGAGGGATATTCTAGCTGGGAAACCAAAGATGTGAGATGAGTATTGCTCGGACGATGTCAATTTCGCACCACCAAGGATTGGTGGCAGTGCTCGGTTCTCTTCCCACCCCCATATAAGGAACAATCTATCCTTACGAAAACCCTCAAATTAGCGTACCAATTGCTGGGGCTTTTTTGAGAATTTTTACATGCCACAACAGCAAAATCATGTTTCCAAAGCGAAGATACTTATACGTATCCTTATTATTATAGTTGGGCTAGCACGGATCTTCTTTTCCCTATAGCAATATATGTACATATGAAAGGGTATCCAACAGGAGGCCCGTCCGTGGCAAGAAGGCAGGGACGCAGACGAGTTGGTGGACGAGTCACAGTGCGTGCTGTGCGATGTAGGACGTACAATGGTTCATACTATTCACCTTGACGCAAAACAACAGTCGCTGCGACTTGTCCGCATCTCTTTCTTTTCGCACCCCGGCGGGCCTCCTGTCGGGTGCCATATGCATAGTCAGCGCTAGTAGTCAACGCAAGTTTCTGGACTGAGAACTCACCTTGCGGTGATATGTCCAAGACATCTCCTAGCACATGACGCAACACCAGTCCCATACTGTACACACCGGCCTCGGGTGTCAACAGACGAGTCCAGGACACCTCAGGAGCCATTTGAGTGAAATCGCCACTATCAACGGGCCTAGTTTTTCTGAAAAATTCCACTGATCCATTGATTCACTGAATAAAGATATCACTTGATTATCACATGGGCAGCTACTTTGGAACAAACTCTCCTAAATTTCTAGCATTTAATGTCATCAAGTTCTTCTTCCTTTTGTTTTGAGTGGCCCCGCAATAAGCAACTACTTCACACCTTGGCCAGGCCACCCATGCCCGCTCTGCGTGCATATTCGGAATTAGGCGCCCACTTATGGGAGGCGAGTCATTTCTTGGTCAAATCTTTGGCCCTTATAGCGCGTAAATCCAATAAAGATTGCGGAAGTCCTGACGGATTACATCTTAATTTCACCTGGTGTAAGTCCAAAACGCACTTTTGTCGCAACGCTTTTGAGCGCGCGCCGCGCTTGCGGCGCCAACGCGTCCCGTCGCGGCGGTATTGATCTCTTTGCACAGACACTCCTACTTGACATAAAATGGATGCCCATTTGCACACAAGTGATCTGTTCACCAAATATGGCCTCACCCTCTGCGCGCCGCGCATTTCTGTTGATTGTTCTGGTAGATTCTAGGAAGAATATCATAATGTTTAAATTCAAAACCCTTACTCCAACGGTGTCAGATCCGCTCCTTCTGTGAAGACCAACTTGATTCGACCGTATGGCATGGCGTCCTAAATGAAGACTACTCTCGTAATTGCAAATTATGTCCACATGAACCCTCTTTCTCAGTAGTCTAGCGGCAACGGATCGCACACCAAACTGCCTCCCCACATGAGAGGGTGTGGCTGTCCGCTGGGATGCCAGGTCTTGGCCCTACCCATCCGGTCACAGGGAAACGGGGGCAACTCGATGATTGCAGGCAGTCGTCACCTGTGCTGTTGAGTTCTGTAGTGCAGAATTACCTGGCCGCCGGATACCGAGGGCACACATTACCCTACATTTACGTGCTGTGCTTTGAAGGAACAGTCGACTGGACAAAAAACAGGATAGACAAGAACTAACCACAAAATAAACATAGAAATTCTCCAACTTCACAGCGCCACTGTAAATGTCCGCGTTGTACAGGCCAGACATCACACTCGCTAAGGCTCTGCACAGCTGAAAGTATGGAAAAAACAGTATACGGTCTTTGGCTGGCCTGCGATAGAGAGAACTGTTGAAATGCCTTGGTTGTCAAAGGTTGGTTTTGTCCTGTTTTTGATTGTTAATAGCTGTTTTTAGTTGCAATTCGCCTTGCGAACGTTTCAGAATAATGCTAGATTGTGAACAAAACTCTCGTCCCAGGCCGGTCTCGAACTCTCGATTACCGGCAGGTGCGCCGCCAAGTTTCGCGCTATCACCCCGCCTCCCCACCCCGAATGCAGCTTTCTCATTGTATATTACCAATAGCTTCACACCTTTATTAGCACTCATTTTGAAGTTTTTTGTATACATGCTGTCATATACCAATGTACTCGATATAAAGATTTCAGAAAAGTAGTGCGATCAAACGATATTGCCGCGAAAGTTTATTGAGATTCCACCCCTGGATAGTCCGCTAGTGCGAAAACGTTAGAGGTTGTGCCACTACCGCTCCTGTAAACGCCACGGACATAGAACCTGAACACGCCTCATGTACCCATGCACACACAACGTTGCGGTGTCTGCGTATCGCTCGTCGCTATGGTCTCTTATCCACGAATATCTACTTATCGTCTCAGCGCACACTGTCTCTCATCTCGCTCCCTGCCCCCCTTATGCCGATGTCAGACTTTGCGAATCGCGCGATTCGCTACTAGCGATTCGCGCGATTCGCTAGCGTCCGCGGTCGCGTTGCGGTACCAGCCAATTGAGTGATTCACTGGCCGCGACGCGACCGCAGACGCTAGCGAATCGCGCGATTCGCAAAGTCTGACATCGGCCTTACCCTCCGTTCCGTCGGGTAAAACAATAAGGCTCGTATTGCCTTTTTGAGATAGTTTCCTTTTTCCAACTGGTAGCCCAATTCGCATACGAAGCTTTATATCGGAGTGTTGGTAGTGAGGTATGCCTTCAGATCTGGAGTTTTACTTGCTGTACTAAGTTCAATGACCAGGAGCCCCTTGACTGGCCGACTTACTGGTAGATGATCTGACATTTGTGAAAACCATACGATGATTTTTGAAGCATGACATTCGCTGCTTTCGCTCAGCCTGCTGCGTGCACAGCGCAGCATAAAGTGGCTGTCGTGAGTTAGAGGCCTAATACCCACCTCCACTCGCCACCCATAGGCCTCCCACCGACGTGTTTATAACTCCGCGTTTTTTCTTGGCCTCAACCTTGATCCTTGTTCCCAAATCCAGTTTTTCTTCGTTCTCATCAAGGAAACGAGGAAAGTCGCAACCCGGTTTGATGCTAAACATAAGTTCCATGAGGAGAGAACAAATATCAGAATCCTTCCTGGTTGTTACTAAGGTTATAAAACAGCTTACTCATAGATGACGTAGCCATTATCTGCTCGGAGAATACCCATGTACTGTACGCATTGGAAGATTCAGTTCAGTGGCCAGAAAACTCACTCTGAGTTCCTTAAACAAAATAAGATCAAGCTTTTCGGACCAATCTTTGAGCGTTCTTTACCGTAATGGAGCGTTCATAGTTGGCGATCGTACATGGCATTAGGCGATCAGGCGGCGAAGACTACATACGCATCTGATTGATTGCTCCGCCCACTATAGCCGCGAGTAGGCGACGTCCCAACTGGGCAGAGGCAACAAATTAATACGTAACCTTCTGCTATCGCTATCGCCTACTCTTCTACTCGCCTGCTCGCCTACTAGTAATCGCGTACTCGCCTACTCGCCTGATCGACTAATCGCACCGTCCGATCGCCAACAATGAACGCTCCATAATGCAACGTTCACAGTTCGCGACTAGGCGATTAGGCGACTTGGCTAGAATTTAATAGTAAAAGTACACGTATCGACTGGGTGATTTTAGGCTAATGGGAGATTGCTTAGTGTGCAGAGCATCGATGCGTGTGCACTCTTTCTCGCCTGATCAATAAGCATCCTTATCCTTGTCACTGGTCGCTTAGTCGCTTTAACGATTGCGAACTATGAACGCTGCCTGAAGATTTTGGGTTGTTTACACTTACGTCGTACATATATTCTCTCCATTCGGCAGTGTTCATTCTTCGGTTCTCTTTCAAGATCACATCAACAAACTCGTTGTTCATTAGGATGTGTGAGCGATAGTACTAAAATATAGGAAGACATATTCAGGAGGACCTTACCATTTCTCACCGCCTGAACGGATTCAACTTTCGTTATGCAGCGCGAGAAATATGGCTCTCGTGTAATGAGTCGCGAAACCAATAAATTGATTAGTAAGCTCAAATAGTATTCAACTTGGCGTGCATGTCTTCTTACTCACTTCGGCGCTATCGCAATATACGGGGACATTGTGGTTGCAGTGTATTTGAAACCGCGTGAAACATGTCTTTTTTGTTGAAAACGGGATCACTTTTTAGGCGGGGGTAGATACACTCCAAAGTGCGTTGGCCATATCTACTTTCCCCGCAGTTGGAGGATGCCCCCGTTTATTGCGATAGCGCCTCACTTCCTTTATCAAATGAGTGGGAGCTTGAATCCGAGTACGTTAAGTACATTAAGAACGAGGATGAGTGCGGGCTCGATGGCATGGCGGAAAGTGCTTCTAGCCACTGAACCCCTTCAAAGTACCAGAACTTTAATATAAATCACCTTGAAGTGGTTGTCTTCGTGAGAAAGCTTTTTGCTGATGACACAATCCCCTTCAAATATTCTGAAATGACGGAGCACGTCTTTTGTGATGAGTCGTCGAGGGTAAACTGGACAGCCAAGCACGCCAGATAGCACATCCAGCTGGAACAAAGCCAGTCACACTAATTTTTGTGTGGCCTCTGAGTGGAACGGATATTTCTCGTTGTGATACAAGAAGTACGCGTTACCGATGAGTCTCGAATGTTGTAGATCAGCTCGCCAATTGTGGTTCCAGTGGCGAAAAGCATACTGCGAATGCGAAATCCTTTTCTGAAAATGTTAGTTCAAAGGCACAGTCAACGATCAGATCATGAGAGTAATTCCGGTGTAAGTGAGATAGCAGGGCTCCCAAGCACACCATTCGCGGCACTGTCGTCTCGCAAAAGTGCACAAAAGGAGCGTTAAGGAATTGCCTTAACCGCTTCAACCGCTGCCATTCTCACTCGTTGGCTGAACACGCGGTGCCTGCGCCATCTCGTACGACATAGTCTCTCCTGAAACCCCTCTTCTAACCGCGCTATGTCTTTCCTATCGTGGATAATCCCAATAGGGAAAGCGGGCTTTCGATTTCAGCCTTTTTCTATTGTTCCCTTGTTCTCAGTGACGATCTACTTCACACCCTCTGTTTCAAAACACATTTTGAAAGCTAAAACCATCAATATCCATCGCACCAAGCTCGAGTACAGATGGTGACGACGATGACGCCAATCACTTTCGCACAATAGGCGCAAGTCAGGCCTGTTGGTGAGCAACGGTACAACGTTTAGCGCACCATTGTTTGGCGTGGCGCGGCTGGTCTCCGCAGTGGCGTGAAGAGTCCTAATCTGCATCTTTTTGACTCTACTTGTGTTCATATCGACGAGATACACCCAGCGCAAACATATTTGCGCACCCCGATAACTGTGCCCGTCCCCGCCTGGCTAAGCTAAGCTTGCAGTGCCCCGCCACGCCTCGCTATCATGTTCTGTGCTCACCTGTGGGTGTTCCTCTCACACTCAAGCGCGCAACGATTTTTGAAAAGCTGACTCCACGCCACTGTTTCCAAAGCAAATGACCCATGTTTTGTCCTTGTCCCTCGATTTTTATCGCAACACGTACGAACCACAGATTTGCAACATTCGCTAAACAAAATCCCGCTGGTAACGTTCAATTAACAACCCCTCGTTAGTCTCCAAGAGTAACCTACATTTACACTGCTTCTCATAAATTATCTTCTTACTACAATCATGGCGGGAATTCCGGTTATCTGTATCATTAGAAGAGCCCCGCAGTAAATCGAACGGAATTCATACAAAGTTCATCAGTTCAGAGGGGGGAACTGGCCGGAGAAAGACTTTCGTTATCCAGCGATTCGACCACTTTGAATAGGCGCCGGCGAAGTCGTTCTTCAACTCACTCTCTCTAAACTTTTCCGAGACTCGACACTGCCTCTCTTCCGCCTCTCCCCCTGTCTTGTTATTCCCCGGGAAAACACCAACAGTTAGAACCAAGAGGATCCGTCCACCATTGAAAACTTCCGATTCCTTGTACATTCGCTCGAATTCACTGGTGCAAGCTCCAACCACTAGGCAGCACTCGTTCTCCATTATATCTAAACATCTGTCAGCGCACTATCCTAATCTACTACTATCCTAATCTCCTACTCTACTACTATCCTACTATCGTAATATCGCATATCTACTACTCTCCAGCGATTTCAATCGATACGTATCTAATCTTGTCAGCGCAATCTCCTACTCTACTACTATCCTAATCTCCCCGTCAATACGTATGTTTTTCATTGTCGCGAACTATGAACGGGGGCCTAAGGGTGCGGACCGACACGCAATTTGCAGCGATGGATATGCCCTGGCGACTCAGTATGGCCCTCCCCGAGGCGCTCTCGGCTCGGTACGCCCACCGTTCGGCTCTAACCGCTCGCCGCAGGTCTCTAACCGTTCAGCACAGTTGAAGAGCAGCTCCGATGAGAGTCGCCTCCACTACCAATCACGGCAGACTGGTGCTACTAGCTCACTCAAATATTTCGAGATGTCCCGCAGTCATAAAAAGCAGATGTTCGAGCAAAATTGCTCTATCTTGTCGTATGATTCAGTCATTTTTCCCACATCGTGCCGGGCCGCCCGCACGCGCGTAATAAAAATGGATATCAACTGCAGGGTGGGAAGCCAGATCCCCTCCTTAGCGCATGTGTCTAGGTAGGTCTGAGGTAGCAGAACTGTAATACTGACTCTGGCTTCATTCGTTCTGCAGTTTGTCCTACCGCACTACCTCCTCGATTTGAAATGGCCCTCTCTGCGTATGAATCGCTAATTATCCTCTGCAACCACTGGCTTAGAGGATGTCATGAATGGGCTAGCTCCCACAACACGCCTACATGTGCTGATAATGCGACGTGACTTATATCGATTACACCACACGCGTAAAATCGATGTGCATTTCAAAGCTTATGTGTTGATGAAGCGGTGCTCTGTCCGTCGAAGTAACCCAATCGAACTCTTCCTCACCTGGCTTCTCAAGAATGAACGATATGAAGTCTTGAGGAATGGTGCCAAGGCTGACTTTTTCGGTGTTCATCTGAAGCACCAGATCTTCAAAACATGCACATAGAAGATTTTCAGTCTTTGACATTTGACAGGGCACACCGCAACCGAAGTAGCGACCAAAATGAATTAGAAGGGACACCCTGGTGTTTGGGGTCACGGATTAGGTTAG